ACGGGCTTTCACCACGTTGGCCAGGCTGGTCTCAAACTTTGAAATATTTTAAACTGTAAAATTCAGTGTTTCTTAGTATATTCATAACAATGTGTGACCATCTTTACTACCTAATTCCAGAACATTCTCATGACTTCCATAAGAAACTCTATCCCCTTTAGCTATCACTTGCCAATCCTCATATTTCCCCCAGCCCTAAGCAACCATTAACCTGCTTTCTGTCTCTATATATTACCTATTCTGAATATTTCATATGAATAAAATCACATATGCCTGTGTAACATATGGTCTTTTGTGTCTGGCATATCAGCATAAGGTTTCAAAAGTCCATCCATATTGTAGAATATATCTGTACTTTGGAAAAACTCTCAAACCATGCTTCTCCTCTGCTCTCACACCAACACAAAGTCATCAACACAGAAGACTTCTGGGACCCCAAAATATGCGGGGATTTCTCCTCATCAGCCAGCAGGCAAGCAATCAATTCTGCAGCAGACACCAGCTGTGTGTTCTCCAATTTCAACACTATCTACCTAGACATAATGTCAGATCCCTATAGGTTAACTGCCCCCACCTCAGATACCAGTTGCAAGTTTGGGTCTCCAGAACTTCTGAACAACAGGCTTTAAGTTGGGGTTTCCATGACCCCCTCTTTGGGTTCAATTGATTTGCTGGAGCGGCTCACAGAACCTAGTGTAACACTTACATTTTCTGGTTTATTACAAAGAATATTACTAAGGATACAGATGAAGAGATGCATAGGGTAAGGGAAAGGGGAAAGGACATCCATCAGAGGGCCAAGGTTCACTGAAAAACCTACTCACAATAAGGCAGATTAATAAAAGAAGAGGTATATAAATTTATTAAACCATGTACACAGGGAGAATCACAGAGTGACTGCCCAATATCCCAATGGGGTTCAGAAGCCTACATACCATCTTGAGGTTACAGAAATAACATGGACTTGGATCCTGGCAAAACAGATTATGGTGGGGGATATAAATTCTATTTAGGGGCAATAAATGGTTACTAGGGAGAATGATTGGATGGGGAACAGAAATTAATTCGTTAATAGTTCTCTTTGGAACTTAAATGATCCTCAGGGACAGTCATGATCTTATAAAAGGGTCCATTCAGGTACACTCTCGGTCTTCTTTCCTATAATGGATAATGAGACAAGGAGGGGAGCAACTGTTCTCCTTGCAGGGTCCATCCTATCTTTATGTAGATAGGGAAAAAGTATCTTCCAACTTGATCCCTAAGGGTTTTGAACTCAAAATCCTCATTATACCAGGGAGCCATATTTTGGGATGAAATTCCTCGTGCTCCTTCTGGCCTTTCATGAAGACTTCATTGGTTGCTCATGATTGAAGCATGGACAACCACATCAAAAACTGATTGAACAAAAAATGTATGCTCTAAACCCAGCAAGGTCTGTCTATTCAGATGCCTCTTGGCCTCTCTGTGCAACATTCCTTCCTCCAGGGTACGGGGTAGGGCCCTCTCTGGAATGGGTGCCTTATGACCACAATCAGATTAGAGTCTTGCCAAGTAGGCAGGTGAAAGGACGACAAGAGAAGGTCAGAGAAGGAGATTCTGTTTACTGTAAAATGGGCTAGGAAAGTTATGAGCTAGGAACTGTGGATGAAAACGAATGTATCATAATATCACAGTACTCCATTCCTTTTTATGATCAAATAATATTCTACTGTATAGATACAACACACTTGTTTATCTGCTCACTAGCTGATGAACATTTGGGTTGTTTCCACTTTTTGGCTAAATCAATAAGGCTGCTAGGCACAGTTGTGTACAAGTTGTTGTTTTTGTTGTTTAGAGATGGGAACTCTGTCGCCCAGGTTGGAGTATAGTGGTGCAATCATAGTTCACTGCAGACTCGAACTCCTGGGCCCAAGCAATCCTCCCATGTCAGCCTCTTGAGTACCTGGTACCACAAGTGAGTGCCACCACACCCAGCTACTTTCTAAATTTTTTATAGAGACAGGTCTCCCTATGTTGTCCAGGCTGTTCTCGAACTCTTGGGCTCAAGCAATCTTCCCACCTCTGCCTCCCAAATTGCTGGAATTATAGGCATGAGCCAGCATGACCAGTTTGTGTACAAGTTTTTGTTTGAACACCTGTTTTCAATCTTCTCGGGTATAAAGCTATTACAGATTTTCCTTGACTTACAGTGGGATTATATCCCAATAAACTCACCATACATAGAAAATATTGTAAGTTAAAAATGCATTATAACCCATAAGCCCATTGTAAAGTCAAAAAAGTGTAAGTCAAACCATCCTAAGTTGGAAATTATCTGTAGTGGAATTAGTGAGTAATATGTTCTGTTTAATTTTTTGAGGAAAGGCTAAATTGTTTTCCAATGGATGTGTATTAGTCCATTTTCACACTGCTGATAGAGACATACCCAAGACTGGGCAATCTGCAAAACAAAAGAGGTTTAATGGACTTACAGTTCCATGTGGCTAGGAAGGCCTCACAATCATGGTGGAAGGTGAAAGGCACTTCTTATATGGCAACGGCAAGAGAGAGAATGAGAGAAGCAAAAGTGGAAACCCCTTATCAAACCATCAGATCTTGTGAGACTTATTCACTACCACAAGAACAGTATGCGGGGAACCACCCCTGTGATTCAATTATCTCCCACTGGGTCCCTCCCACAACACGTGGGAATTATGGGAGTATAATTCAAGATGAAATTTGGGTGGGGACACAGAGCTAAACCATACCAGGGGATATATCATTTTGCATTTTCATCAGCAATGTATAAGTGTTTCATTGCCCCACATACTCATTTGAACTTGGAACTGTTGATTTTTTGGTTTTCACTTTTAGGCATTTTGATGAGTATCCCATTGTGATTAATTTGCAATTCCCTAGTGACTACTGATGTTCAGCATCTTTTCATGTGCTTATTGGCCATTTGTCTACCTTTGGAGAAATATCTATTCAAGCCCTTTACATATTTTTTATTTTATTTTTGAGACAAGGTCTCATTCTGTCACCTGGGCTAGAGTGCAGTGGTGTGACCATAACTCATTACAGCCTCAACCTCACCAGCTCAAGCTATTCTCCTGTCTCAGCCTCCCGAGTAGCTGGGACTACAGGTGAGTGCCACCATGCCCAGCTAATTTTTGCTATTTTTTTGTAGCGACAGAGTTTTGCCATGTTGCCAGGGCTAGTCTCAAACTCCTGAGCTCAAGTGATCCACTAACCTCAGTCTCCCAAAGTGCTGGGACTACAGGCATGAGCCACCACTCCCAGCCCCTTTGCACATTTATAAATTGTGTTCTCTTTGGTTTTATTTTGTTTTTAAATTCGGTTTACTTTTTGTTGTTGGGTTGTTAAGTTTCTTTTTACAGTAAGTTAACTTTTATCAACTGAGAAAAATAAAATTCTATGCCCCCTAACTGACTGAACAGGCCCTCTCTTGGCCAAGAAGACCCTAGAAAAAACTTGGAAGCTGAGTTACTACTCATGACAGGATGGGAAGTTGGACACACCTCTTTATAACCCCTCCCTCTATAATCGCCATTAGATTTTCTTTCCTAAAGGTTAAACAGAAAGCAGCCCTTTTGAAAGACTCACTCCACCAGCTTGATGCTGACCCTCCCATTTGCAGTTTCAACAGAACAACCGACCAGCATTCCTTCCTGGTAAGAGACCACCGACTATCCAGGGAGTGGTTCTGGCCAGTCTACACGGGACGTGCAGTGAGGGTTTTCATGTCCCTGCTTCACCTTTTGAAGTCAAGGGGTAGAAAACGCCACCCTTGGATAATGCTAAGGCCACCATTTTTTAAACATGGGATCCATAGAGAGTCATGAAGTTCAACTGCACATCCCCAAGTTGCTCCTTTCATAAATATTCATGACCCCTCCTACAGTATATTTAACATGTATATTTGGCCACTGTAATTAGCATAAATCCCTGTCTTATTCTTCCAACCCTGGAAGTGTCTGTTTTTCTATTTTTGGCTTCTGGCTGGAAGCTAGGCTTCCCAGTCTGTCAAAATGGCTACCATGCAGGTTCAACCCTTTTTTTTTTTTTTTTTTTTTTTTTTGAGATGATGTCTTGCTCCCAGACTGGAGTGCAGTGGCAGAATCTTGGCTCCCTGCAACCTCCGCCTCCCGGGTTCAAGCAATTCTGCTTCATCTTCCCAAGTAGCTGGGACTACAAGTGCAGACCACCACATCCAGCTAATTTTTGTATTTTTAGTAGAGACAGGGTTTCACCATGTTGGCCGAGCTGGCCTCAAACTCCTGACCTCAAGTGATCCACCCGCCTCAGCCTCCCAAAGTGCTGGGATTACAGGCGTGAGCCACTGTGCCCGGCCAGGTTCAACACTTTATGAAAAATAAAGTTCATCTGATTGGGCACAGTGGCTCATGCCTGTAATACCAGCACTTCAGGAGGGCTAGATAGAAGAATCACTTGAGCCCAGGTGTTCGAGACCAGCTTAGGCAACATAGTGAGCCCCACTATTTCTTTTTTTTTTTTTTAACTAAAGGAAAATATTAAGTAAACAGTGCTAAAATAGTGATGGCAATACAGAAATCAGGAACTGGTGGCATGACATTTTGGGAAAGATATTTAAGCTAGAGAGACTCAGTTTCTCCAGCTTTAAAACAGAAATCAGCCACTGCCACTTCATAGGTGCTGGAACAAAAGAGACTTGTTCCAAATGAGATGACGCATGTAAAGCGCTTACCCAGTGCTCGGCAAGGGGAAGCACTCTCTAAACGTTAGCAAATACCATGATAGGGCACTAGGCCCCTGACAGTCCGCTTTCGGCTTGCTGACGATCCTCAAAACCAAGAGCACAGAGCTTCCAGCGCATGCTCCTTTCCCGCCCCCCCGCTACCTTGTGCGGGCACCGGCCGCTAGTGCGGAGCCACCGTGACCCGCAGCCTGACTTCCGTTTCCGGGGGCGGCTTCCGGCGGCGTGGGCTGACCGCGAGAGGCCAATGGAGTGCGGGAGCTGAAAGAGTCTTCGCTGGCGGCCGGTAACTGACGGGAACGGCCGAGTGTGGCTCCTCTGGTGTTTCCGCTTGGGGAGAGAGGGGCGGCCTTCCTTTTGCAGCCGAGGCCGGCGCCGGGCTGGACTTCAGCCCGGTCTCGTGGCGGAGCCCATCTTGCTCCGTCTCCCAGGCCTTTACCTGCTTCCTAGGATTCCCAGGGCCCTGTGGGTGGGAATTGGGAGACGTGAGTTTTCTTCCATTCTGCGCCTCTCATTGGCTCTCTGACCTTGTGCGGAACGCGCCCTTTAGCTGACCTCAGCTGCCTTTTTTAGAAGATGGAGATTGTATTCACAGTGACTGTCACTTTCTTAACGGCGGGAACTGACGTTGTATTAAACGCTGTCTTGTATCGCTGGCACAGCACAAGGACAGTATAGGTGTTATGTACTCACTTATTTTGGGTCACAAACCCTTTGAAAACCTGGTGTAAGTTATGGACCCTCCACCTCTCTAATACTTCCCCCGGCCCCCGCCCCAAGCACACACAAAAGCTTATGCATAGGAAGTTTGTTTTACTATTTCAGGTTACTTCCAAGATTTCTGTCCTGATGCCCATCTGTGGATCCCAGAGTCTGGCAAGTAGTAGGCATTTGAATGTTTGTAATCATTAGATAGCAAGTGTTCCGTTAACCATTTTTATTTTTAATTTTTTCTTTTCTTTTTTGAGACAGGGCCTCACAGTGTCGCCCAGGCTGGAGTGCAGTCCTCCCACCTCAGCCTTCCAAGTAGCTGGGACTACAAGTGCCCACCACCACGCCCAGCTATTTTTTGTATTTTTGGTAGAGATGAGGTTTTGCCATATTACGCAGATTGGTCTCGACCTCAACCCATCTACTCGCCTTAGCTCCCCAAAGTGCTGGGATTACGGGCACGAGCCAGTGTGCCCAGCCCAGTTAATCATTTTAAAATGCATGAAGTGCTGTCTACTTCACAGGAGGGAAGAAGATAGCCTATTAATAAGTTTTACTTATTGGCCTGGTCGTTTACTACTCTCACTTGTCTCCTAACAACTCTAGGAAAGAGGTATTAGTTAATTCTCGCTTGTCTCCTAACAACTCTAGGAAAGAGGTATTACTAATTACTTAATTAAATTTGGAGGCTTGGGAGAATTAATTTGCCATTCAACCTATGATGGTGGAGGCAAAAATTCAAACCTGTATCTATCTGAAACTCCAAAAGCCACATATTTTTATTATTATTTATTTTATTTATTTTTTTGAGACAGAGTCTTGTTCTATCACCCAGGTCAGAGTGCAGTGGCATGATCTCGGCTCGCTGCAATCTCCACCTCCCAGGTTCAAGCAGTTGTGGTCCCTCAGCCTCCCAAGTAGCTGGGATTACAGGCTCCCACCACCACACCTGGCTAATGTTTGTATTTTTAGTAGAGACAGGGTTTTACCATGTTGGCCAGGCTGGTCTGAAACTCCTGACCTCAGGCAATCCTCCCGCCTCGGCCTCCCAGAGTGCTAGGATTACAGGTGTGAGCCACCACACCCAGCCAGGCCCTATATTCTTAACTAACCATGTTCTTAACATCTAGATGCAGAAATGTATTTGAGTGTAATCTGCAGTTTCTATTGTAGTTATGAAATGGCTTTTGTCAACATGGGTTACCCCAAAGCAAATGTTGCATGCTATGGAAATACTTCTTGCCTCTTTTTCTCCCATGTATCTGTATTGCTTGTTTAATAATAACATCACATTTTACAACCTGCACTCTGTGCCCATGTTTATTCAACCCTTTTTACTTTGGTGACTATTTATCAGGTGTGTTGCCTTCTTCTTCCTGCCCTTCAGAGCCCATGTTTTTAATTATAACTGAAATATGAGATGACAATATTTGGGCTTTATTTCTTTCTCTTTTAAAGGACAGTACTGCTTTTAAAGAGACAGTGTTAGGGATCTTGGAAGCACAGCCAACATGTGTGACATTGAAGAAGCCACTAACCAACTCCTAGATGTGAACCTTCATGAGAACCAGAGCTCTGTACAAGTGACGGAAAGTGACCTCAGAAGTGAATCTGAGCTTCTAGTCACTATTGGAGCCACTGTACCTACTGGCTTTGAGCAAACAGCTGCAGATGAAGTGAGAGAGAAACTTGGGTCATCATGCAAAATCAGCAGAGACCGTGGCAAGATATATTTTGTCATTTCAGTGGAAAGTCTGGCACAGGTTTGAATGAAGCAATATTTAAAATAGTTTTCTAAGTTGATCGTTTTATGGTTACTTTTCATTTTACAGACCCTTCTGGAATCCTTTCTGATTTTCATTGCTCTGCCCCAAATCAGGAGATTTTAAAGTTAGTGCATTTTCTATTGAGTACTGATTTGTAATTTTGACTGTAGTTTCAGTATCCCTTAGGACCAGAAGTGTTTCAGATTTTTGGAGGAGGGCGGGGGGAGTTTTGGAATATTTGCATTATACTTGCCACTTTAGCATTTTTTTTTTTTTTTTTTTTTTGAGACAGAGTCTTGCTCTGTCACCAGGCTGGAGTGCAGTGGCACGATCTCGGCTCACTGCATCCTCCACCTCCCAGGTTCAAGCGATTCTCCCGAGTAGCTGGGACTACAGGCGCCTGCCAGCACATCCAGCTAATTTTTGTATATTTAGTAGAAACGGGGTTTCACCATCCTGACCAGGCTGGTCTCGAACTCCTGATCTCATGGTCCAACCGCCTCGGCCTCCCAAAGTGCTGGGAATACAGGCTTGAGCCACCGCGCCCAGCCTGCCAGTTGAGCATTTCTAATCTGAAAATCCGAAATGCTGCACTGAGCATTTCCTTTGAGCATTGTGTTGGGGCTCAAAAAGTTTCAGATTTTTAGATTTGGGATGCTCAACCTGTAGTAGGATTGCTACATTTTTAGAGGTGATCTAGTATTTCTTGAGGATTGAATTCACCAGAAAGAGTACTGTTCAACTTAAGAAATTCTTTAAGTATCTCAGTTTTTATTTACTTCAGCATCTAGCAGATGTTTAACCTTTGGTGATGAAACATAAAAGAGATTTGCCTTTTAACCTGCATCAAAAATTCTTGCTCAGAAGTAATTAGAATTCACTCAAGGTAAAAAGTGAAGGTCAGAAAACTGCAATCTCACTATAATAAAGCTAAGATATATCTCATTACCACGTAAGCAGCAAGAGGGCAAGGATTGTTGTCTGTTTTTTTTCCACCAATATATCCCAAGCTCTTAGTGTCTGGCATATAGTAGGTACCCAAAAAATATCTGTGGGATGAATTGGTAAGCAGATGTTTTCCATCCAGTATTTTAGCCAATACCCTCAGCAGTGTTGTGAAGATAGACACTATTATTATCCTCATTAATCATTAGGCTTAGGACACATAAATAATTTCCTCAGGGTCACTCAGCTAGTAATCACAGAACTGGAGCTCAAATCCGCTACTTTTAACCATTGCAGCATACAGTGTACCATAGAAAGCCATCGAGGAAATATGATAGAGCCCACTTGAGTGACTTGACCTTTCTCTTCTCCCACGAAAGACATGTTTCCCACAAAACACTTCATGCTTCTCTCTTTCCATGTGCCCTTTTTCCCTTTCTCTAGGGGAAAGCTGATTGGTAACCAAAGAGATGAGAAACTAGGGAGATGGAACATTTTAAAAATATAAAATATAGTTAGTAGCTGCTTTAAAACTACCATTCCTGATTTTTTAAATACTTAATTGTTGATAGCTTGTGCTGTTCAAAAGCTTTCTCAGAAGTGTGTTTCTTTTTTTTCACCCAGGTTCATTGTCTTAGATCAGTTGACAACTTATTTGTGGTGGTTCAGGAATTTCAAGATTACCAATTCAAACAAATAAAGGTGAGCTATCGCAAACATTTCACAGTCTGTGAAAATTGAGCATTACTGTAGTCTTTGTAATAGAGAATACTGGGAGGCTTTTACAATAAATCTAGAGTTTTGCTGACAGTCTATCCCAAAAGATGTTTTTTAAAAATTAGTATTGAAAATCATTAAAGTTTATAAGAAAGAAAACACACTGTTTTATTTATAAAAGATATAAACCTTAGATTTGCTTTGCTTTTACATATATTTAGTTCCAAAATAGAATTGCTTCCAGAACATGAACCAAAGAACAAGTGACAATTTGTGTCTTCTACAGATAACACTTCCTCGCCATCCTGCTTTTGCTCTGCTTTCTTCTGTTTCTTCATTTTTTGAAATAAAGCCAAAGTGATATCTAAATACTCCTTCAGTTGTTAGGACAACAGCTTTGTCTCCAATATGTATTTAGCATCTGAATCCTAAATATTCAGCTGCTGCCTAAGCTGAAGGTTGAAAATAGATTGCAGCAAGGCTTTAGGTTTTTTCCACACTGCTTTTTGGTTAGGTTTCTAGAGTTCACTGCTTAAAAACATTTTTCTATCGGTTTTACCTATCTGAGAAGTAATCTTTTTAAAAACAACTGTGATATGCCGCCTAATTGTCTAACTTTTATTTATTGGCAAACATGTTGATTTCCAAAACGTTATTCAAAAACCAAAGTTGTATGAAACCACAGCCTAGAAGAAAACAAGACCAGACCTAAAAGAAGTCAGACTGAAAATAGATAAAAATTTTATTAACAAAAATCTAACTTTTAGAAAAGCTTAAATCATTCTAATGAGTTCTGTTATTTTTAAGTATTCAGTTGATAATCATGAATTTATTAGCCCCCACCCCCATCTTTTAAAAAATATTGAGAGTGGGGCCGGGCGTGGTGGCTCACACCTGTAATCCCAGCACTTTGAGAGGCCGAGTGGGCGGGTCACGAGGTCAGGAGATCGAGACCATCCTGGCTAACACGGTGAAACCCCGTCTCTACTAAAAATACAAAAAATGAGCCGGGCGCGGTGACGGGCGCCTGTAGTCCCAGCTACTCGGGAGGCTGAGGCAGGAGAATGGTGTGAACCTGGGGAGGCAGAGCTTGTAGTGAGCAGAGACTGAGCCACTGCACTCTAGCCCGGGTGACAGAACGAGACTCTAAGTCTCAAAAAAAAAAAAATGTATTGAAATGGGGTCTCACTGTGTTGCCCAGGCTGGTCTCAAACTTCTGGGCTCCAGTAATCCTTCCACTTAAGCCTCCCAAAGTGCTGGGATTACAGGTGTGAGCCATTGCACCTGACCCCCATTCCCCACCTCCATCCCCGCATTTTTTTTTTTTTTTTTTTTTTGGGATGGAGTCTTGCTCTGTTGCCTAGGCTGGAGTGCAGTGGCATGATCTTGGCTCACTGCAACCTCTGCCACCCAGGTTCAAGTGATTCTCCTGCCTCAGCCTCCTGAGTATCTGGGACTACAGGTGTATGCTGCCACACCCGGCTAATTTTTTTTTTTTTTTTTTTTTTTTTTGAGACGGAGTCTCGCTCTGTCGCCCAGGCTGGAGTGCAGTGGTGTGATCTCGGCTCACTGCAGCCTCCACCTCCCGGGTTCACGCCATTCTCCTGCCTCAGCCTCCCGAGTAGCTGGGACTATGGGTGCCTGCCACCACACCGGGCTAATTTTTTGGGGTTTTTTAGTAGAGATGGGGTTTCAGCATCTTGGCCAGGCTGGTCTTGAATTCCTGACCTCATGTTCCACCCGTCTTGGCCTATCAAAGTGCTAGGATTACAGGTGTGAGCCACTGCGCCCGGCCTCTGTCTGCCTTTTTAAAAGTGTGAACAAATCTGATTTATATAGATTTTTTAAAACTAGTTAATACATGTATTTGGAGCAAACTTGTAAAGACTGAAAGGATATAGAGTGAAAAGTAAGTCTTTGTTCCTGTATCCCCGTGCTATGCAGCTCCCTCCCTGGAGGCAACAACTATCACCAATTTGTTGGGTGTTCTTCTGGAGATATTTTACTAATAAATGTATTTTATTTACACAAATGAAAGCATAGCGTACATACTTTTCTGTGCTATGCTTTTTTTTTCCATACACGAGTTGAGTATCCCTTATCTGAAATACTTGGGACCAGAAATGTTTTGGATTTTTGTTTGTTTGTTTTTTGAAATACTCTGGTCTGGGTGCAGTGGCTCACGCCTGTAATCCCAGCACTTTGGGAAGCCAAGGCAGGTGGATCACGAGGTCAGGAGTTTGAGACCAGCCTGGCCAAGTTGGTGAAACACCGTCTCTACTAAAAATACAAAAAATTAGCAGTGGCGGGCTCCTGTAATTCCAGCTACTCAGGAGGCTGAGGTAGGAGAATCGCTTGAACCTGGGAGGCAGAGGTTGCAGTGAGCCGAGATCACTCCACTGCACCCTAGCCTGAGTGACAGAGCAAGACTCCGTCTCAAGAAAAAAAAAAAGAAATACTCTGAGGATGGAACCTATTTATAAACACAAGATTCATTTGTTTCATATATATGTTATGCATATAGCTTGAGGGTAATTTTATATGATTTTTAAAATAATTTATACATGAAACAAAGTTTGTGTACACTGAACCATCAGAAAGCAAAGGTGTCATTATCTCCGCTACCTGTGTGGCATCATGTTGGCACTTCAAAAAAGTTTTAGGTTTTGGATTTTGGACTTTGAGATTAGGAATGCTCAACCTATATGCTGGAGATCCTGGCAGTATCATTGCTGGAGTTGGCTGTGTATACTCCATTGTTTGGCTGTATTGTAATTTAACCAGTCCCATTTTAGGGCATGAGGGTTTTTCACATTCTTTTGCTGTTACAGTGGTGCAACAAATACACTATGTAAATTCTTGTACATACTCAAACTGAGTGTCATCTTCGTGTTTATCCCACTGATATTTATTGATAATGACAACTGTGTAGTCTTAGTTTTGTCATGCTTATACTTTTTGCTTTTTCTTAATTTGAAAAATCTCTACATTATGTCTTGTTTACTTTTTTCATGTGCCTGTGTTTTCTAATAGTTTGGAAGGTTTGTGTGTGTGTGTTCTAGCTGTTACCTTTATAACTACAATTTGATATTATCTACCTTATCTATCATATATACGCAGTATTTTTTGAATCCCTGCTAAGAGCAATGATGAAATTGGCATATTTATACTTTTTTTCCTTTATTTTTCAGTTATTTTTCTTAGTGTTCACCCTTAAACCTTTAAATATACTTACATTTTATTTATCAGCTTTAACTTCTATCCTCGGACTTCTGGGTATAAGAGATGAGGGTATCAGTATGCCCATTTACATGCCAGTTTGTAACATTTACCTTCTGCTTTATAGTCACAATCCCTACATTTTTTCATTTTAGTGATATAATTAAATAGATTATAGCACACACTATTTGTCCTTTTGTTAAAATTTGTATCTGTTGAATGGCATGAGTTCAGAAATGTTTGTCTTTCACCTTTATATTTGGCTGATAGTTTGGGCATAAAATTTGGAGTTAAGCTTTCTTTCCTTAAGAGTATTGTAGTCAGTGTTCATTCTTTTTTGTAAAAGGTTTATTTTTTGAGACAGGATCTTGCTCTGTTGTCTAAGCTGGAGTGCAGTGGCGTGATCATAGCTCATTGGAGCCTTCACCTCCCAGGCTCAAGCAGGCCTCCCATCTCAGCTTCCTTTGTAGCTGGGACTACAGGCACGTGCCACCATGCCCAGCTAATTTTTGTATTTTTTTTGTAGAGACAGAGTTTTGCCATGTTGCCCAGTCTGGTCTCAAACTCCTGAGTTCAAGTAATCCACCTGCTTCAGCCTCCTAAAGTGCTGGGATTACAGGCGTGAGCTACCATATGCAGCCCACACTTTTCTTCTTATCATTATTTCCCAAACAATACAGTATAAAAACTATTTCCGTAGCATTTACATTGTATCAGGTATCATAGGTAATACAGAGATGATTTAAGGTACTCTTGAGAGGATGTGTGTAGGTCATATGCAGACACTATACCATTTGATATGAGGGACTTTTAAGCATCTTTGGGTTTTGGTGTCTTTGGGGGTCCTAGAACCAATGTTCCCCATGGATACTAACTGTCTGTAAGCAAAGTAGAGATTTATTTGTTTGATTATAGTGGTGGAAAATGAACGAATTTCTTTCTCTGTCCTTTACAGGAAGAAGTTCTAAAGGATTTTGAAGACTTGGCTGGAAAACTCCCATGGTCAAACCCCTTAAAAGTGTGGAAAATTAATGCCAGTTTTAAAAAGAAAAAAGCAAAGCGCAAAAAGATAAATCAGAATTTAAGTAAAGAGAAGATTAATAATGGACAAGAAGTCAAAATCAATCAGAGAAATGTTAAAAAAGAGTTCACTAGCCATGCTTTAGATTCTCATATCTTAGATTATTATGAAAATCCAGCCATCAAAGAGGAGGTGTCAACATTAGTAGGTGATGATTTGGCATCTTCCAAAGATGAGACTGATGAAAGCTCAAAAGAAGAAACTGAGCCTCAAGTGCTAAAGTTTAGAGTCACATGCAACAGGGCAGGAGAGAAACATTGCTTTACCTCAAATGAGGCTGCAAGAGATTTTGGGGGTGCTGTTCAAGATTATTTTAAGTGGAAGGCTGATATGACCAACTTTGATGTGGAGGTAGGTATAGGCTCTGACTGTGGTGATTGAAGAGTGCTGTCACAGATTTGTAGAATTTTCAGACTAACCCAGTGTTATGCACAATTAAATTGAAATAGTAGGGTGTGGTTAAGAAGAGCATAGTCTTTGGAGACAGATTTAGATCCAAATTTTGACGCCACAACTGTGTAACTTTGGACTAGATAGTCTCTGAGTCTCTGTTTCAAATGGAGCCAATAATAGTATATACCTTTAAAGTTATCCTGAAGGTTAAATAAGGTACATTTAAAATATTTGGTGCAATACCTTGCATACACTAAGTGCTCCGCAGATGGAAGCTATCAAGGTTGAGTTGTCTGTTTTCTTTTTCTTTTTCGAGACAGAGTCTTGCTCTGTCACCCAGGCTGGAGTGCAGTGGTATGATCTCAGCCTACTGCAGCCTCTGCCTTCCTGGTTCAAGTGATTCTTGTGCTCAGCCTCCCAAGTAACTGGGGCTACAGGCACATGCCACCACACCTGGTTAATTTTTGTATTTTTTAGTAGACATGGGGTTTCACCATGTTGGCTAGGCTGGTCTCGAACTCCTGTAGTGATCTGCCTGTCTTGGTCTCCTAAAGTGCCAGGATTACAGGCATGAGCCACCACACCTGGCCTGATTTCTAATAGAGTACTCTTTTACTGTATTATGTGGACTTTCATATTATAAAATTCAACCAGAATTAAAATAGTTATTTTGTTTTTGTGTGTCTTGGTTGCAGAGCTTTGCTACTGAAAAAATAAAATAAGGCTGGGCGCAGTGGCTCATCCCTGTAATCCCAGCACTTTGGGAGGCTGAGGCAGGTGGATCACTTGAGGTCAGGAATTCGAGACCAGCATGGCCAACATGGTGAAACCTGGTCTCTACTAAAAATACAAAAATTGGCCCGGTGTGATGGCACGCTCCTGTGATCCCAGCTACTGGGGAGGCTGAGGATCACTTGAACCAGGGAGGTGGAGGTTGCAGTGAGCCGAGATCATGACACTGCACTCCAGCCTGGGTGACAAAGCAAGACTCCATCTCCCAAAAAAAAAAAAAAGAAAAGTGCGTTTTTTAAACAAACCCTGACCTTCTCAAATCAGGACATCTTTGCTAATACTCGTCGTAGAGTCAGCTCTCCTCTTTCTTAAATTCTGCTAGATTTCCAAAGCCAGGTACCTCATTTTAGTATGTTTACTTTCCTTGGTCTTAATCCTCTTTTACCTAGGTGATTGACATGTGAGCCATAGGAACTAGAGTCGTTAAGACTCTGACAGCTTAAAACGTCTATAGCAGCTGATGTATTTACCAAAGAGCCAATTTCTGTTGCTTTTGGTGTACTTGAATCTGGGGCAAGTCACTGATTCTAACTTTTTTGTTCATGTCAAATCAGTAGTCTAATTCCCCATTCCTTTTTTTCCTCATATACTGCCATGAAAATGAATAGGTGGCTCACACCTGTAATTCCAGTACTTTGGGAGGCCGCGGCAGGCAGATCGCTTGAGCCTAAGAATTCGAGACCAGCCTGGGCAAAACAGGGAGACCCTGTCTCTACTAAAAATAAAAGAAATTTTTTAAAAAAGAAAATGAATAGGTTAACTAGAACAGTGATGTCTAAAAGTTAGCAAGGTGATTCAGAGGACAGTTTCTGGAGCCGTGCCGCATTGGGTTAAATCCCAGAGGAGGCTGGGTGTGGTGACACATACCTGTAATCTCAGCACTTTGGGAGATCGAGATTGGAGGATTGCTTGAGGCCCGGAGTTCAAGACCAGCCTAGGCGACATAGGGAGACCTTGTCTCTACAAAAAAAAAAAAAAAATAGCTGAGTATGATGACATATGCCTGTAGTCCCAGGTACTTGGGAGGCTGAAGTAAGAGGATTGCCTGAGCCTAGGAAGTCCAGGCCACAGTGATCTGTGATTGTGCCACTGCACTCCATCCTGGGCGACAGAGACAAACCCTGTCTCAAAAAAAAAAAGGAATTTCAGAGGAGCTGTCTTTGTGCCTCAATATCCTCTTTTATAAGGGGAATAATACCTAGCTTAGGGGATGTGAATATGAGATGAGGCCATGTATGTAAATGTGTAGAATAGTGCTTCGCATTAGGAAGTGCTATGAGTGTCAGCTGTGCTTCTGCTGTGGTTAAGCCCAGGAAATCTTTCGGTGAAAGATTGGGTAACATTTTAGTTTAGTTCACTTTTGAGACAGGGTCTCGCTGTATCACCCAGACTGGAGTGCAGTGGTGCAATCATGGCTCACTGAAGCCTTGACCTCCCAGGCTCAAGCTATCCTCCCACCTCAGCCTCCCGAGTAGCTGGAGCTACGGGCATGTGCCACCGCACTCAGTGTAATAAGACTTTTTATTTGAGACTTTACCAATTTTTAAAACTTTTTTGTTGAGATATACTTTGCATTAAGTACACAAATCTTAAGTGTACACTTCAGTAAGTTTTTACTTATATACACGATGTGTAACTAGCATCCAGATAAAGATACAAAGTATTTCCAGTACCTCAGGGGCTCCCCTTGCCCTTTGCCAGTCAGTACCCACTCAAGGCAATCACTAATCTGCTACCACCAAAAATTAGTTTTGCCAATTTTTGTACTTCATATAAATGAAGTCATATAGTATATACTTTTTGTCGTTCATTTTAACATCTATTATTTTCTTTTAATTCACTATATTTATTGGCTACAACCACCAGATGTCACCCCAATTTTTATAACACAAACATATTTTGAAGGCTTAGAGGTTTTTTAATATGTATTTTTTAAATGTCTTAAATTTTTAGACAGTTCTGGGCTGTGGTGTGCTATGCTGATCAGGTGTTCGCACTAAGTTTGGCATCAATATGGTGACCTCCCAGGAGTAGGGGACCGGCCCAGGTCAGAAAAGGCTTACTACAAAGTGCAGTTTGAACAATCCTAAAACTATTTTGTCTTGTTCCACTTTACTATAGGTTCTTTTGAACATCCATGATAACGAAGTCATTGTGGGCATTGCATTGACTGAAGAGAGTCTCCACCGAAGAAATATAACACATTTTGGACCTACAACTCTTAGATCAACTCTTGCCTATGGGATGCTCAGGTAAGAAAATGAGTTTGCCGTCCAGCTTAAAGTGGCACCTTGGTTTGAATGTTCCCTTCCAAAATACTGATTTGTGTGTATGTGTGTTTGAGGTACTGTGTTGGAATGTAGTGGATAAAGAATAGAAAGGAAAGCTAATGATCTATTTCTTTCCCTTCTATCCAATATTGACTCCTTGTGATCTGAAAATGCTGCTTATTAGGTGGCTCAGTTTTCTTTATTTCTTTTCAGTTTTCTTTATTTCATTTTTTGAGACAAAGTCTCACTCTGTCGCCCAGGCTGGAGTGCAGTGGTGAGATCTCGACTCACTATAACCTCTGCCTCCCGGCTTCAAGTATTTCTCCTGTCTCAGCCAAGTAGCTGGGATTATGGGCGCCTGCCACCACGCCCAGATAATTTTTGTATTTTTTAATAGAGACAACATTTCACCATGTTGGCGAGGCTCGTCTCAAATACCTGACCTTGGGTGATCCACCCGCCTCTGCCTCCCAAAGTGCTGGGATTACAGGTGTGAGCCACCGCACCCAGTTTTCTTGATTTTAAAATGAGAGTGATAGTTTTCACCTACCTCTTGAATGCAGTTACCACATTTCTGTTTAGCAAGGATATGTGTGTTGGGAGATAGAGCAAATTTTGCTGTTTCATTTCTGTGCAGTGAAAAAGATGAAAGCAGATATTTGTATTTGTGTAAAGTGTAAATGAACAGAAAGAGCCTTTACTTATATTTTTAAGCTTTATACTCACAGCAACCCAGGAATCATCCTAGAATTTTTCACTTTTCAGAGTGCAAGACCTATCTTTCCTTCTCCTTTGCCCTTCTCTCTTTTATTGGGTGCTGCTTTTCACCACTTGAAAATGTTTATTTTCTCTAAGCTTCTGTTTTCCAGATGGCAAAATGAATTTGATATGAGACTTAAAGGATTATTAGTGAGGATTACATGCTGAAGCATATGCAAAATACCTATTATATACAGTGCCTGGTATGTCCTGGTAGTTTTAAGTCCAGTCATGCATCACTTAACAACAGGGATGCATTCTGAAAAATGTGTCATCGTGCAATTTCATCATTGTGTGAACCTCATGGAGTGTACTTATACAAATCTAGATGGTGTAGCCTACTACACACCTGGGCTATGTGGTATCTCCTATTGCTTCTGGGCTACAAACCTGTACAGCATGTTATTGTACTGAATATTGTAGTCAGTTGTAATGTAGTGGTAAGTATTTGTGTATCTAAACATACAAAGGGTAGGGTAAAAATATGGTGTTATAATTACTGCATTCATATATTTGGTCCACCATTGATTGGAAAATTGTTATGCAGCACCTGACTGTATTCCTTTTGTTCCAATCTTTTATCTTCCTAACATATTAATTCAATGACAATAATAGAAAATTGGGCCCATTTGATAAAGGAAAATTTTCTAGTCTTCATTAATTTAACAAATATGCATTATCTACTGCCAGGCATATGGTAGAAACCAGGGATAGACAGAGGGTATTATTTTGCATGCAAATATTAAAAACCTAAGTAAACAAGTTTAGGATAAAAAAAGTGATGATTGTGCCAGGGAGGGTTTTTTGGAAAGAAAGAGAAATCTTGGGGATTCTACAGAAAAACTGAATGTTGGTTCTCAAGAAGGGTAGGAACCACATCTTGGAAAACCGCCAGAAACGTGGGCAGCCATTTTTATCTCCCCTTAGAGCCTGTGGACTCTTGTCGCTTCTCATCTACATGCTTTCTCATCTAAATTTATGTATTTCCAATTCCAAACGACCAACCCACCTTGCGTAGGGCTTTTAGCTCTTTGTTCCAAATTCCTGGAAGAGAGAATCTGATTGACATTGTTTTGGTCAGTTATTCACCCCGATCATCAGGAATGGCTTGGAGTACAGGGTGCTTACCCCCTTAAGAGGGTTGCCAAGGATTCTGTTGCCATGTGTTGAGGAGTAGGAACAAGGACATAGAGCAGGACCAATGTTACAATAAGAACCCACTATTAACCCCAAGAATCTGTCTTATGAGGGAGATAAACAGTTATCATATATGTGATAAGTCCCACACCAGCACATGAAAAGATGAGAACAAGAGAAGGGAAGAAACCTACTGACCTGTTTCAGGGTGGGATGCTTCATAAAGAGGATAACACTTAAGCCATTAACAGTAATGCCTCTAATCTTGAATCTGTTACCTACTGGTTTTGTGTCCCTGGGCAGGTAACTTCATGTTTCCTTGCATCAGCTTACCTTTAAAATGAGAATAATGATAATTATCTAACAGGGTCATTACTGAGGATTCCGTGAGATAATGCATGGAAAGAGCTTAAGTCCTTGCCCAGCAAATACTAAGTGCTCAAAGTAAAGCATTTTTTCCTTTTTTTTATTACCTACTCCCACAGAGCAATTTTTTAATGTCAAGATTATTATCTTTAAATTCAAAAGGAAAGGAATACTGAATGTCTCATTGCCAGTATCCTTATATTGATGCATGTTTGAGTTGAGACATTTTTGAGTCTTTTTAATGTAATACAGGTTTCTATTGAAAATAACACTGTTGTCTAAAAGTATGCATGTGTGTGGTGTGTCTTTGTGTGTACATGTGTGTACTTTAAGATGTCTGCAAACCAAATTTCATCTGAAAGTGAAATGGGATTTAGTTATATGTAATGATTTTTTTTCCCGAGTAATAGAATATACAGTCAACATATCATTAAAAATTTAGTATTTATTTATTTATTATTTATTTATTTTTTTTTTTTTTGAGACGAAGTCTTGCTCTGTCACCCAGGCTGGATCTTACATGATCTTGGCTCACTGCAATCCCTACCTTCTGGGTTCAAGCAAGTCTCAGCCTCCCTACTAGCTGGGATTACAGGCACCCGCCACCACGCCCAGCTAATTTTTTGTATTTTTAGTGGAGACAGGTTTCGCCATGTTGGCCAGGCTTGTCTTGAATTCCTGACCTCAAGTGATCCGCCTATCTCAGCCTCCCAAAGTGCTGGGATTACAGGCGTGAGTCACCATGCCCAGCCATAAGTTGATTTTTAAAATGTGTAGATTGGTGTTCCTTCAGGCTAGTGTGATAGGTCCTCAATCTTACAGCTTCAGGAATCATCAGTATAGAAGCCTCAGCTTTTGGGTGAGTCTTCACATAGGCTGTTTTCTTTTCTCTAGGCTCTGTGATCCTCTACCTTATGATATAATAGTTGATCCGATGTGTGGAACTGGGGCAATACCAATAGAGGTAATCATATTTCTTTAGCTTTTAGATAAGAGTGATACATCCAGAATATTCAAGACCCAGTGGGCAAATTAGACATAATGAAATCTCCATGGTTGGATCAGTGGACCCAAGAGTTTTAAAACAATTAACAATAGAAAAGTTGGAACTTTTTTGTAAAGAATGTAACTACTTATTTCAAAGAGCCATTTGCCACTAGACTAGATACATTGTTAGTGACATCTATTCACTGGATTACAGAGGAAGCTGAGAATTACAAACTGCTGATGAGTCCTCTTTGTGTAACAGACAAACTGGTAGACTTGAATGGGAAAAGATAATTGAAGGCATAAGCATAAACTTGAGGAAGGCAATTTTCTTCTTTGTAATCCACTTAAGTTCCTAGAGGGAATAAGTATAGTTGTAAAAAGGGGAAACTTATGAATATTACTTGGATTTTTTAGAAAGTCTGACAAGCTTAATACCAAATGCTCTTAACTAATTTTCAAAATTACTGTGATATTGAGAGGACTTATAACAACTGTATAAAGCAAAGCAAGAAATGGAAAGGCATTTTCTAAATGGAGAATATTTCACAGTAGAGTCCCCTGAATAATCAGTATCATCTATATGTTCTTAAACAATTTAGAAGAGGGAGCTCCCGGTAAAGTCACTGAAGTTTGTATGAAACATAGTAGTTCTTCCATATAGTATACTGAAAGCCAATTTGAATAAACTGCAGGGAGACACCGCAGATTATATGACTGGGTAGAAACTAGACAGATGAGCAAGTCCAAAGCAAGACCACCAGGGGAGAAATAATCCAAACTGTAATTAGAAAATGTTATCTGTGTTCTGGGAGTTAAAATCCAAGAGTGAAATCATAGAAGTCTACATGATGACTGTGTTCTGTGAGAGCTAGAGAAATTACTGTGGCTTAAAGAGACTGCACAGTAAAAACCCAATCCTTCTTGTGACCAAGAAGGATTCTGGGAACAAAGCAGAGTGTTGTTTTCTAGTGTGAAATCATGATATGTGTATGAGATAGCAGGTAAAGTCACTGCATGTCAAGAAATACACAACAGAGCTCCGGGTGAAAATAAAGGCCAAAAAAATTAAAACATGAAGTTTGAGCCATTTCCATGTAAGAGTAGACATGCAGATGTCAGTGTAGAAAAACCTAAGCTGATATGTGATCAAAATGAATAAAATTATGAAGAAATTGACAAGGTATATATAAAGATTTATTCACCAAAGTATAAAATACTTGATCTAGAATACTTTTTTTTTTTTTAATTTAGAAGTGTTACACTGTAAAACCCAATTCTTTCCAATGCTGAAAATCCAAATAGGTTTAGGAGGAAAAAAAATATTTTGGGGAATCAGAATCACTGAGAGGCTTCCTCAAACTCTAGGTCCCCTCTACATCCCCACCCACCCAAACTTCTGGGATACTTCAACTTCCCTTTTGTTTGAAGTCATCATAGGATTGTAGACAGGAGTATGTCATCACCCTCAAGTGTCTGGGCAAAAGAAAAACTTATGAAGCACTGTACTCATGGATGAGAAGTATGTTACTGTTCACAAAGGAACACAAAGGTGTTTGCTACTCACCCCTAAGCAGAGGCAGACTTTTCTCAGCTTTCATGTCAGAAACCTTCTGTTAATCTGCATAGAACATTGTTCAGGCCTAAGGTCACATGCCACCTCATTCCACAAATGATATGTGACAACTTGGTATTTATGTTCTGCTGACAGGTTTTTCATTTAAAATTACAAAATCCTTCCAGTGATATGGTGGTTACCATTCAAAAGCCTATCATACAAAGGAAATTGCATTTTATTATTATTTTTTTTTGACCTAGGGTCTTGCTCTGTCAACTAGGCTGGAGTGCAGTGGTGTGATCTCAGCTCCCTGCAACCTCTGCCTCCCTGGCTTAAGCCATCCTCCCACCTCAGCCTCTCGAGTAGCTGAGACTCAGGTGCACACCACCACGCCCAGCTGATTTTTGTGTTTTTGTAGAGATGGGGTTTCGCCATGTTCCCAGGCTGGTCTCAAACTCCTGGGCTCAAGAAATCCTCCTGCTTCAGCTTCCCAAAGTACTGGGATTTCAGGTGTGAACCACCATGCCCAGCTGGAAATAGCATTTTATTTTGCAGTTCTCAAATATATCAGATTATGTAAACTCCCACAACCACAAAAGAGTATAGGTTTGATCAGTTTAATTTGGTTAATATTTTCAAACCGCATTTACTTAGAATTTATTTAGTGTGCCAGACGCTGCTGGATGAGGAACTGAAGAAAATACTAGACCTGACCTCAGCTCCCAGGTTAGTTGGGAAGCGCAAAGGGGAAGAAATAATTAACAGTGGAACAAGTGCAGTGGCAGAGGTACCTACATACAAAGTGCTTTTGGGAGCGGCACATAAGACTGCTTGGAGAGTTAAGGTTGGTGTCGAAAGGGCATGAGTTTTGAGCTGGGTCTTACGAGATGGGTAGTGGTTCAGCAAGCAGAGAAAGAATAAGAGGGCATTTTCAGCCAGGGAAATAGCACAGTTGACAACATGCAATGTTTTGCCATTCTAGAGAAGCACTGGATTCTCTTTGTTTCTTGACAATTTAAATAATCACATTTTGCAGTTTGCTACTTTTGTTTTAACATATACTCTTACCTTTTAGGGGGCTACTGAATGGACTGACTGTTTCCATATTGCTGGTGATAATAATCCACTGGCTGTGAATAGAGCAGCAAATAACATTGCATCTTTATTGACCAAGAGCCAAATTAAAGAAGGGTAAAAATTTAAAAGATTTCTTAGCATCTTTTAGTGTTAGAGAATCATTTTTTATATTGACTTTATGAATTAAAACTCCCAGTGCATTGTGACATCGTTACGAAAATGAATACACTGAGACTCCATTTACATTTTTAAAGTTTATTGAAAATAATTATATTTTTAAAACATTATTTTAGCTATAATTTCCCCACCATATGCAATTTTTCATTTCTGTCTTATATGTCTTTTCCCCCACATACTGGAAGAATATAGATTCATTTTAATTTCACAAAATTTTAAACACTGTATTTTTACATAGGCTTCTTTTTTGCTTTGGGGACAGGGTCTCATTTTGTCACTCAGGCTGGAGTGCAGTGGCATGATCATGGCTCACTGTAGCCTCAACCTACTGGGCTCAAGCAGTCCTCCTGCCTCGGCCTCCCTAGTAGCTATGAATACAGGCATGTGCCACCATACCCAGCTAATTTTTAAAATTCTTCATAGAGATGGGGGTCTTGCTGTTTTGTCCAGGCTGGTGTAGAACTCCTGGCCTCAAGAGATCCTCCCGCTTCAGCTTTCCAAAATGCTGGGGTTAGAGACACGAGTCACCACACCTGGACCATAGTCTTTTAAAGTCACTACATAAATTCCATCGTACAGAAATACTGCAGTTTATATAGCCTCTCCTCTGTTTTATTACTAAGTCATTGGTTATATATTTCATTGTCTCTCTGATCTAATTTTTTAGGACAGTGCTTTTCAAACATTAATGTACATGTGAATCACCTGGGAGTACTGTTAACACAGATTTTGATTCAGTAGTTTGGGATGGGATCTAAGAGTCTGCATTTTCCAGGAAACTCTGGGACAATGCTGATGCTGCTGGTCTATGGATCAACATTCAATCCTTTTACATATATTAAGGCTAGTTGGAAGGTTTCAATTTTCTTAAATACTGATTTATTTTATTGTGATGAATTAATTTTGAATGGTTCTTTCATGTTTATTGAGTTTATTTTTTTTATGAGCCTAGTATATGGCCAGTCTTTTTTTTTTTTTTAATTAAAACTGATAAACATTTAAACAAACTTTCTTTTCTAGCTTCTGAATATTTTATCTTGTTTGTATCTACACTTTTTGTCTATTCAACCTGTACTTTTTTTTTTTTTTTTGGAGACCGAGCACTGCGCCTCCCGGCTTCACGCCATTCTCCTGCCTCAGCGCTCCAGAGTAGCTGGGACTACAGGTGCCCACTACCATGCCCAGCTAATTTTTTTTTCGTATTTTTAGTAGAGACGGGTTTTCACCCTGTTTCATCCTGTTAGCCATGATGGTCTCGATCTCCTGACCTCATGATCTGCCCGCCATGGCCTCCCAAAGTGCTGGGATTACAGGCGTGAGCCACCGTGCCTGGCCTCAACCTGTACAGTACTTTCTATTCATTTTACTTTGGTTTTTAATATTTTTTGCCTTACGCTTTGTTTTGTGCAGTTATTCGTATGTGGTTGTAATACATATTTTATATGTACTTTAAAAAATTATGTAGTGATTGCCTTTATTGCATTTTTTTCTTAAATTCTTCATTAAATGTCAATTAAATCCTTAATTTCTGCTGATAGCCTTTGACTTACCTTCAGTTCTTAGCCTGTGCATTATTTTGTTTCTTAAACCAGTTACCTTTGCCTTAATGGGGAGGATTTAAATCCTTTGTATTTATTATTATTCATTCTGTCTTCTGTCATCTATATTTTTTATCTTAACTTTTTTCTTAGTCTTGTTTTATATAGCATGGTACATATATTTCCTTTTGGTTTTTCATCTTAAAACAATTACCTATATATTTACCAATTTTACGTATCTGTTTTTCTTTTAGGTCTCCTGTTATTACTAGTTTTACAAACTTTATTCTTCAGATACGTCACCCCATAATCTTTTCTTTAGTGTGCTTGATTTTTCCAGTGTATGTTTTATCAGCAACTTAATTTTTATATTATCGGTTATGTAATTTACTGCTTCGGCATTGTTTTTAAAGTTGTCTTTTGCAGTTCTCTGCATTACAATCATGTTTTCAGTTTGTTTTCTTTTTTTCTGAGACGGGGTCTTGCTCTGTCACCCAGGCTGGAGTACAGTGGCACAATCCTAGCTCACTTCATCTTTCAACTCCTGGGCTCAAGTGATCCTCCCACCTCAGCCTCCTGAGTAGCTGGGACTATAGGTGTGTGCCATCATGCCTTGCTAACTTTAAAAAAAAAATTTTTTTAGAGACAAGGTCTCACAGTGTTGCGCAGCTAGTCTCAAATTCCTGCACTCCAGTGATCTTCCCACCTCAGCCCCTGAAAGTGCTGATTATAGGCACGAGCACCATGCCCAGCCTGACCTTCTATTTTTTACCTTTGTGCCACTTCTTAAATTTTGAATAGGTTGATATTATCACTGATATTCTTAGCATTTTATATTTTGCTGTAGCAGTCTCTTTTCAGAAACAAAAATTGTTGTAACGATTTTATGCTTCACAATATGTTGAAGCACCTTTCCTTTGTCCCCACAGCAAACCATCCTGGGGCTTGCCCATAGATGCTGTTCAGTGGGATATCTGTAATCTGCCATTGAGAACTGGTTCTGTGGATATTATTGTAACAGATTTGCCATTTGGAAAAAGGTGAGAATTGGTTGGTTTTTTTTTTAAATGAATTTTACTTTCACTTGTTATACTACTATCTGCAAGACTTCTAAGTATGTCATTATTTTCCTTGTGTTTATTCTGTCAGGAAAAAAATCTTGAATTTTAGCAGACTTAGCAGAGCTGTTTTTCACTGAACAACATGATGGATTCACCCATTATGTTTCTTCTGTGAACTCTCAGGAATGTATTAACTACATTTTGAATCCTGACCATCATAGGAGGTTCATTTTTAAATTACCTATAATTCACTTTTTAGCCCATTCTTGAATTATATATTTTACACAAAAAGGTGGTGGAAGACTTGGTTCTGATTCTGTTTCTCAGCATAAATGATTTTTCTTTTTTTTTTTTTCTTTTTTTGAGACAGAGCCCCGTTCTGTTGCCCAGGCTGGAGTGCAGTGGCATGATCTCGGCTCACAGCAACCTCTGCCTCCCGGGTTCAAGCAATTCTCCTGCCTCACCCTCCTGAGTAGCTTGGATTACGGGCACGTGCCATCATGCCCAGCTAATTTTTGTATTTTTAGTTAAGATGGGATTTCACCATGTTGGCCAGGCTGGTCTCAAACTCCTGACCTCAGGTGATCCACCCGCCTCAGCCTCCCGAACTGCTGGGATTATAGGCATGAGCCACCAAAACACCCAGCCTAAATGATTTCTAATCACTTGTTTGGTTCATATAGTTTGACTGCTTATTAAACTCACTAAGAGGGCAAGTTATATAACATAGTTGTCCAAAAAAATTCTTTTTGATTCAGAATTCTAAGCAATTTACTAACTCAGCTTATTTCATTGACATGTAATGGCAAAGGTCTGGTTTCTAAAACTACAGCTGTTTTTCATGCCTCAGGATGCATGAAACTGTTTTGTTTCATATACTCCTTCTATTTTGTATCTTTTGCAACAGTATTTGACTCACTAGTCCTTCTATTATAGGATGGGATCCAAGAAAAGAAACTGGAACCTTTATCCAGCTTGCCTACGGGAGATGAGCCGTGTCTGCACACCTACCACGGGCCGAGCTGTACTACTTACTCAAGACACAAAATGCTTTACCAAGGTGCTATACACATTAGCTCAAAATCGCAGCCTCTGGCAACTTTGGGATCTTTTTGAGTAGATTTGGGGATGTTTGTTTGGATAAGATTTGTTTTCTCTTTCCCTGAGGTTTCTTATCAGGCAGCTAAGAATCCTGGTTGGTGTAAAAGTAGATTGTCAACCTAATTGCTCTGGTTTTTGTGTGTACACAGGCATTATCTGGAATGCGACATGTATGGCGAAAGGTGGATACGGTCTGGGTGAACGTTGGTGGTCTTCGTGCTGCAGTTTATGTACTGATACGTACACCTCAAGCTTTTGTTTATCCTTCAGAACAAGATGGAGAAAAAGGAACTCTTTGGTAATACAAAGTTCAATGAAGATGACTAATAGTACTTGTACTTCCCACCACTGGAAATGTTAGCATAAAGAACTTGCAGAGAAAAATAGTATTAACAAAAGTGCAGTCTGCACTCTTTAAACCTGTTTAAGGCTCTTCATCCTGGTTAGCAAAAGGTGTGAATGTAACGTGATGGAATTTAAAAGTTTTATGAGACCAGGCACAGTGGCTCACGACTGTAATTCCAGCAGTTTGGGAGACTGAAGTGTGCAGATCACCTGAGGTCCAGAGGCCAGCCTGGCGAACATGGTGAAACCACGCCTCTTCTAGAAATACAAAAATTTTGTCGGGTGTGGTGGTGGGCGCCTGTAATCCCAGCTACTCAGGAGGCTGAGGCTAGAGAATCACTTGAACCCGGGTGGTGGAGGTTGCGGTGAGCCGAGATCACACCATTGCACTCCAGCCTGTGCAACAAGAGTGAAACTCCGTCTCAAAAAAAAAAAAAATTTATAAGAAGGAGCTTTTCCTTGAAGCTCTTGTGAAGTGGTAGCTTAATAAGTATTTTGTTGAAAATACTTTCAAGGTGCCTAGTGAAAAGCCTACTAAAGTACTCTGAGATTGGAGTTTAGAACATTTTATTTTCAGGCTTTATAGCCTATTTTCCATTGTGTCAAGTGCAAAGCTACTCTGGCCCAAAGGAAAGGCAGAGAACATAATTATATCTTAGGCCACATTTCATTGTCTTTGCAGCTTTGCTAATCCAGTTGCTCAAGTTCTTTACCTCAATCTGAAGGAATGAAGCATTACATTTTGTGAATGGTGTTCAGCCTGTAAGACAAAATCTCACAAGACCTATAGGAGAGTTTACCATCTGCCTTAAATATTAAAATATCCATCTGTTACTCAGATTAACACATAGAACGAAAATAGAGGTCTAGGAATTATCAAAAGGTACTGCAAAAATACTGTTAGTATATAACATTTCTATTTGTAAATAGCACATACATTGATAGATGGGGTATGGGACCAACAAACCAAATTAAAAGAAATTGTTTTTCTTTCAGTACACTAAGGTGTGTTTTCAAAACCAAACACAAGCCTGTCAGAGTATTTGTTGGCTAGTTTCTTAAAAGGCCAAGAGAAAAAAGCTGATATCTTTGGAAAACTTTTGGGAGTTACGTGAGTTTGTTACTTTCTCCTGGATCACTATTCACATTTAATTGCTTTTCCAGTTCCAACAAGTCCTTCTTGAGAGTTTTGTGGAAAATGGTGCTTCCCTGGAACAAAGAGTAGTTGAGGTTTTTTGTGGAACTCATCATAGTATTATTTGGAGCCTCTGGCTGCATGCATTCAGGATAGATTTTCAGTATCCTATTAATATTATAATAGTACTCCTCTTAATACTTTTTGATGTCTCCATTGAGAATAAAAGGACACAATACCTTCGAAAGAAGAGTTCACATTAGCAGCACAGCCAGCAATCTTCATCTGGTTTCTCTGATCTCCTACCCCACGCTTCATAATAAATGGGAAATAAGATGTTTCTGAAGATTTTATATCCTAGACTGGCCATTTTGCCACTATGAGAATTCCCAGCTGCTTTATTTATGGGCCGAACACAAAACTTTTCACCTGATGGAAGAAACCATTTAAACCTCAAATTAAGCAACCCACAGAACCAGGAAATTCAAGGACCATGTCTGTTTTCACCACGATGTCTTTTTTTTTCCCCACTAAGTGCGGGGTACTGTATCTGCCAGAGTGGGTATTTGTTGAACAAATGAATATTTTTGCCTACTAGCTTAGTTTTTAAGGAAGTAATTTTTTACTTGATTCATCATAGCTTTAATCCTATTAAATACTACAATAAAAATTTGACAAGACTGATGCAAATATGTGGTGGGCAATAGTTTGCCATCTTCTTCCCTAGTATATTGTTTTTCAATCTGGTGACTAGAATAGGCAATGGGCTATTAGCAGGATTCATAAGGCCTAGAGTTGAGTTATATGTGACATTGCCACCTATTCATTATGTGACCTTGGGTTTTAACCTTCAAAGTGGGTCTCCCTGGACTAAAAGAATGTGAAAAGACGGGGAAAGGAATCTGTAATCTGAACATGGAATGACTGAGTTACAGACCAGACATTGTTATTGGGAATGAAAAAGTCAATATATTTGAGGGGAAAAAATGTAAACATTGAGAAAGATTTTATAAATCTAATTAGGGGAAGATAGTTATCTCCCAATACTAGAGTGTACCAGAGTGCTTTTAAGGGGAACATTTGGTTACCCTTATTTCTTTTAAAATGGCAGTTTAGGAAATTCTGCCCAGTAGGCCCAATGTCAGATAGGACTCAGGTCTCCAATGCAAAGACCAAAATGTTAAGTTGAAGACTGAAAATGGGAAGATTTGGAAAGGTCTTTGGAACCTCAAGCACATTAAAGCTTGTAAGTGCTTCATATTCATTAATAACCTAGGCATAGAAGGCCGGGCGTGGGGGCTCAAGCCTGTAATCCCAGCACTTTGGGAGGCCGAGGTGGGTGGATCACAAGGTCAGGAGATTGAGACCATCCTTGCTAACACGATGAAACCCCGTCTCTACTAAAAAATACAAAAAACTAGCCAGGTGAGGTGGCGGGCGCCTGTAGTCACAGCTACCCACGAGGCTGAGGCTGAGGCAGGAGAATGGCGTAAACCTGGGAGACGGAACTTTCAGTGATCTGAGATCCAGCCACTGCACTCCAGCCTGGGCGACAGAGTGAGACTCCGTCTAAAAAATAATAATAATAATAACCTAGGCATAGAAAAAAGATACCCTTACTTTCAAGCATAGCCTTTACAAGTTCATGTTAGATGTCATGAAGTTTAGTGAGGAGTAAATCTATGAGGAAAAACACAAACCATTCTACTCTGGCAAAAGTTCAGAAGAAACACCATAGACAGACCTGTATACCAAATTTTAAAACACGTTGAATAATGTGAAAAAAAGTATCACATTATGAAAGGCTTTCCTGTCGCCCCTTAATACTTTTGTCTCAGGCTAACATGTTTGTTAATGAGTTACAGTGGTGAAGTTAAGGAAATCGGCTTCCTGTCATAGCATGCCCATTATCCCAGCCATACAGGTTTAATACCGGGATTCACTGTAACTCGATGAAGTCATTCAACAGGTACGTGAATATTTATTTTGTGTGTTGTGCTAGAGTAGCCATTTCTTAAACTTTGTGGCCTCAGAAAATCCCTTCACATTCTTAAAGATTGAGGGCCCCAAATCACTTTACTAGTATTTTACCATATTAGTAAAATATTTAAATATTATAGCAACAAATGCATTAAAACATTTTTAGTATATATTTTTTGAAATAGGTGCATTGTTTTACATTTTGGCAATTCGGTTTCCCTAAATGTCTGACTTAAATAGAAGACAACTAGATTTTTGTTTCTTTTGCATTCAATTGGTTACAATGTTACTTGCAGTTTTCTATAATCTCATGTATTATTCATTAGGAAAATATAGTTCACTGAGTTATGTAACTCTCCCAAATATTGGCCCATTTTACTGTACACTACCTAAAATGTCATTGGCGGGGCACGGTGGCTTAAACCTGTAATTCCAGCACTTTGGGAGGCCAAGGTGGATCAACTGAGGTCAGAAGTTCAAGACCACATGGTGAAACTCCATCTCTACTAAAAATACAAAAATTAGTAGCCGGGCATGGTGGTACGCGCCTATAGTCCCAGTTACGCAGGAGGCTGAGGCAGAATTGCTTGAACCCAGGAGGCAGAGGTTGCAGTGAGCCAAGATCATGCCACTGCGTTCCAGTCTGGGTAACAGAGCAAGACTGTCTCAAAAAAAAAAAAAAATCATATTCAGTATCACTGTCTCATAAAGTATTGGGAAGCTGTCAACAAGTTCCTGATATTAGACACAAGTTTTCCCAAAATTCTGATTTTGACTCAGTGTTTGGATTTTATCATTGAAAACAACTGCTGTCAGTTGTTAGGCTCCAAGGAAATAATAGGTAATTCAGCTTGCGTGAGTGCTTTTTCTTGAAACAACCATTTCAAAAAGTTACGTACTCAAGGGTTTAGATTTAACAAAATGTCACTGCTTTCACAAGGACATTCTTGAGTGAAACTGGTTTTCTTTTGTGGGGGTTCCCACCACAAATGCATGGCAGTGAAGAATAACTTATAGTTTGATGCCACTGCCTCAGTTTGTGCCAAGGTGCCTGAAGTTTTACTTTTACCTACTGTTGTCTTATCACCACTTTTACAAATGTCAACATATAGTTTAGGATAAACCGTGAGATTTAAAAAAGTTATTCTACACTTGCATTATTTCAGGACATGTGTTTGTTGCCAAGCTTTCACGTAAGAGTATCTTTAGTTGATGCTGATGCCTGGCAAATACAAGCCAAGTAACAAGTCCAGGCACGTTCACGCACACATCCATTTATAAGGTATAAGCACAGTCAGCCCTCCATATCCTCAGGTTCTGCATTTGCAGATTCAACCAAACTTGAAATATTTGAAAATATTTGAGAATATTTAATACAATAGTACAAATATAAATACACAATGTAACAACTATTTACATAGCATTCACATTGTATGAAAGTATCAAAAATCTGGAAATGATTTAAAGTATATGGGAGGATGTGTGTAAGTTGTATGGAGATACAGCGCCATTTTATATAAGGGACTTCAACATCCTTGGGTTTTGGTGTCCTCGGTGAATGGCCAGCAAGGGTGGGGGAGTGGTGTCCTGAAACCAATCCCAAGGCAAGGGACAAATGTATACTTCTACAGATGAGATATTAACTCAGAATTCATGTCTGCACACACATCTTTAATGACAAGTTGCTGTACCACTCAACAGTGGCACTACTGTGATCTTTTACTTACACTTCAGCCAGCAGAGACATTCAGCAATGTGAGATTTTTAAAGTTTCTCAGCTATTGTGTATGTTTCTAGAGTATAACAAAGTAACAGATACTTAAGTAGTGTTTTCATTTCTAGCTTTAAAACTTTTTTTTTTTATAGTAGTGGCATACCTGCATTAAAAAATAATACCTTACCAAAAAAAAAAAAAACAACACTCTGAATGATTAGTTTCAAAATGATGCCACAACATAGGTGGCACCAACACTATTCAGAATCATTCCATTCCCATCTCTAAAAAAATTTTTGGCCGGGTATGGCGGCTCACGCTTAACAACTCGACATTTTGGGAGGCAGGATCACTCAGGGCTAGGAGTTGAAGACTAGCCCAACATGGCAAGATCCTGTCTCAAAAAAAATTATGTAAAAAATATTTTTTAAAGCCCAGACTTGGTGGTACATGCCTATAGCTCCAGCTATTCAGGAGGCTGAGGCAGGAATATCGCTTGAACCCAGAAGTTTCAGGCTGTAGACTATGATGGTACCTGTGAACAGCCTGGGCAACACAGCAAGACCTCATCTCCAAAAAAAGACAAAAGAACTAAATTATTCTACTGCAGACATGATAAGGTAAGTATCTCCAAAGTAGAATGACAGGTTTCATATTTTCATTAGTTTGAGTCAGTCCTTCCAAATCAATCTTGTTTTTTATTAGTATACAGATGGTATAGCCGATAAGTAAATGAGAAGCAGTCTTTTTAAGCCATCGATCCCTTCTTAAATGAGAAAAATATAAATATTTTAGAATAAAGTTATTCTAAAGTTGTAAAATTTTTAAATTTGGATATTCTGGGAAAATATTTAAACCACTATTGCAAACAAAACAAACAACAAAATGTACTTATGTTTATGCTTAGGCACAAAGAAAACTACAGTATTTTAAAATAACAATTGTAGAATATTGAGGTTGCAAAGATTACTGAAGGCATAACCTAAAAAGTGAGTTGATTTCTAAAAATGGGAAAAGGGGAAAAAAACAATTTCTAAAAACAAGTATACATACCTAAACCTAACACCACCTTAGAAATTTCAAGTACAGCACCATTCATTAACATCAATGAGGATGTCATCACACATCATGCAGCCTCTGTACACTGTCAGAATAAATGAAAAAGGCAGGCATCTTGCTATCATGACAATAGTTTTGATCTCGCAGACCTCTCTGTGCTTAGGCAACGGATAAAGCCATAAGAACTGTCCTGCCCGCAAGGAGCAACCTAAAGTAGGAAAAAAACAAAATTATACAATTATTATTTACAATTGTGAGAAGAGTTCTTGAAACATTCAGATGGAGGATACAGTGTAGTAGGGGTGAGGGTATCAAGACGGCTTCCTTGAGAAGTGATGTTTTGAGACCATTCTCTCTTCTCAATAACTGATATTTGGTTCCTGAATCCTTTAACTTCCTTACCATTGTCACTCCTAAGCCAAATCTCATTACCTCGTGTCTAGACTACTGTTAAGAGAACCAATTAAGTGGTCTCTGTAGCCCTCAATTTATTGGTGTATCTATGGGAAAATTGCTCAAACTCTAAGCCTTAGTTTCCTACTCTGTAAAATGGGGTTGTATATATAAGGAACGTACTAAATACACAGGTATACCTCAGAAACACTGCAGGCTAAATTCCAGAGCACTGCAATAAAGCGAATCTCATGAATTGGTTGGTTCCCCAGTGCATATAGTTATGCTTACACTATACCATAGTCTATATTAAAAGTGTACAGTAGCATTATGTGTAATTGATATACGTCACTGCCAAAAAAATGCTAACAATCTTTTTGCTGGTGGAGGGTCTTGCATCAATGTTAATGATGGCTACTGACTCATCAGGGTGGTGGTGGTGGTTGAAAATTGGGATAGCTGTGGCAATTTCTTAAAAGACAATGAAGTCTGCCACACTGACTTCCTTTCACAAGACTTCTCTGTAGCATGTGACGCTGTTTGATAACATGACAGCATTTTACCCACAGTATAACTTTTTTTTTCTTTTCCTTTTTTTTTTTTTTTTGAGACTGAGTCTCGCTCTGTCGCCCAGGCTGGAGTGCAGTCAGCTCACTGCAAGCTCCACCTCCCGGGTTCACACCCTTCTCCTGCCTCAGCCTCCTGAGTAGCTGGGATTACAGGCATGTGCCACCACGCCCGGCTAATTTTTTGTATTTTCAGTAGAGACGGGGTTTCACCGTGTTAGCCAGGGTGGTCTCGATCTCCTGACCTCATGATCCACCCGCCTTGGCCTCCCAAAGTGCTGGGATTACAGGCGTGAGCCACTGCACCCGGCCCCCCTCTTTTTTTTTTTTTTTTTAAAGACAATCTCACTTTGTTGCCCAGGCTGGAGTGCAGTTGTGCCATCTTGGCTCACTGCAACCTCCTCTTCCCTGGTTCAAGAGATTCTCCTGCCTCAGCCTCCCAAGTAGCTGGGACTACAGGTGTGCACCACCACACCTGGCTAATTTTGGTAGAGATGGGGTTTCACCATGTTGGCTAGGCTGGTCTTGAACTCCTGACCTCAAGTGATCTACCAGCCTTGGCCTCCCAAACAGCTGGGATTGCAAGCGTGAGCAACCACACCCAGCCAGTAGAACTTATTTCAAAATTGAAGTCAACTCTCTGACACCCTGGCACTGCTTTATCAACCAGGTTTCTGTAATACCTAAATCCTTTATGGTCATTTTGACAATATTCACAGCAACTTCACCAGTAGATTCCATCTCAAAAAACCACTTTCTTTGCTCATCCCTAAGAAGCAACTCCTTATCCATTCAAATTTGATCATGAGATTGCAGCAATTCAGTCACATCTTCAACACTGTACTTCCAATTCTAGTTCTCTTGCTATTTCCACATCTGCAGTACACAAAAGGCATTCAGTAACTATTATTAGTTCATTTCTCCTACCGATGTCTCCATTAGCTTTTGCCTATAGTATGCACTAGAGTATGTTACCATTATTTGTTTTTTTGTTTTTTGTTTGTTTGTTTGTTTTTTGAGACGGAGTCTCGCTCTGTCGCCCAGGCTGGAGTGCAGTGGCGCGATCTCGGCTCACTGCAAGCTCCGCCTCCTGGGTTTACGCCATTCTCCTGCCTTAGCCTCCTGAGTAGCTGGGACTACAGGCGCCCGCCACCGCGCCCGGCTAATTTTTTGTATTTTTAGTAGAGACGGGGTTTCACCGTGGTCTCGATCTCCTGACCTTGTGATCCGCCCGCCTCGGCCTCCCAAAGTGCTGGGATTACAGGCGTGAGCCACCGTGCCCGGCCCCATTATTTGTTATTAGTACCACCTCATTATTACATTATTTGTAAGCAGCACCTGAAGGTCTGAGATTAGATTTTAAATCAAGGTCAGTAAAAATAGAAAAGGCTATGAAGACTGTTGACTGAGTTTACCAGAATCCATACACCAGAGATGAGATTAGTTAGGTGATAAAATAACCATTCTATAAACATGATCTGAAACTATGTTACTATTGTCAGCAGGAAAAGTCAATTTTACATACGTTTAAAAAAGAAAAAAAAGAAAACCCCAAAACCAGAAAACAAAAGGTGACAAAGTATCAGGACAAACAAAAGGTCACTGATGACTGATCTCTAGGAAAAAGCTGGAAAGCAGGATTATTAAATGTAACCATGACTAAGATAAAAATCAGAGGCAGAAAGTCTTTGTCACCAAGAAGATACACTGCATAACAGAAGCAGAAACAATTCATCAGGATTAACCCTAGTCTAGATAAAACTATTTGATTCAGTACTAACACTTCTCTAATAATCCAATATATTATCCAATCTCAAGAAGAGAGAGTCACGGATAAGAAGTCTTCTTGAGAAGTATGTCCTCTAATATAAACTAATATGCCACTAAGAAAGCAACCTGCAAGTCCAGTACCAGACTTCTGGATTTGTGACCTAACAAGGTGCTCTACAATTAACCTAATAGTCAAACTAGAGTGTTGCAAACCAGAATTATATAATTATGCCAAACCTCTATTCACAAAAAATATATGGAAGTAACCTATCTAGTTTAAATTTTGCAAATCTAACACACACACACTAGCCCTCACTAAACTTTCACCAGCTTTCTCATGCAAGTACAAGTGTGTAATATACTTAATAAATCTGTCTTACAAGGGTAAGTAGTAGTATGTAACTACTTGAAAAGGAGATAGGTAGCTGGTTAATTTAAACAAAAAGCCCAAGGAAGTAAAGCACAGGAAAAGGATAACTGCCATGGTTAATACAGGAAACCCAAAGAACTGAATGGTGGGATAGATGTTTTCAGAGACCACGAGGCATCAGTTTCCTCTATGAATAGAATATTAGGAGACACAGGTTAAATGTGACCCTGAAGTCTCTCCCAAAAAGTAGCCTTGTTTATATGTTTTGTGAGCTTAACTATTACTGAAGAATCAATTTCACACATAAACCAACAAAACTAACATTTATTGAGCTCCCAGCTCTGTGCTTAGGCACTGAAAAACAAATCACTTTCCTTAAGGATTGCAATTAAGCAGGAGAAACACAAATAAGGTGAACTTCTCTTGTTCAAAAAAATGTATTTCAACATTCCTTTTAAAAGGAAAACCTGACCTGCAAGTTTCCAAAAATATTACTATTCCTCTTGCCTCTCAAAATTCCCATTGTTGTTTTTCAGGAGGAAAAAACAGTTCATTTGAGGAAAAATTGAGGGACACATACTGTACAATTGAGAAGAGTTTCTCTGAAATTGTAATCATTTTTGGCAGGTAAATAGGCATATCCGAGTCAGCAAATCAACTTGAAAAGATACTGAATTATACTGCCTGTTCTATGGGGTTCCACCTTCCCCAAAAGAATTCAGAATTTTTGGGTGGTCTGAGAATCTGCATTAAGAGAACTCTCAGCACACAGGTGGTTTGAAGACCGCTGACCTAAGGGTCTTATTTTCTAAAGAGAAACTTTAAAATGTATTTTTTTTAATGTATTTTTAAAAGTATATTTAATGGCCCAGGACGGTGGCTCACGCCTGTAATCCCAGGACTTTGGGAAGCTTAGGCAGGAAGAACACTTGAGCCCAGGAGTTCTAACCTGCACAGCACAGCAAAACGCCATCTCTACAAAAAAACACAAAAAAATTAGCTGGGCATGGAAGCATATGCCTGTAGTCCCAGCTACTCAGGCGGCTGAGGCAGGAGGATCACTTGAGCCCAGGAAGTTAAGGCTGCGTAAACCATGATTACACCACTGCAATCCAGACTGGGTGGCACTAAGACTCCATCTCAAAAAAAAAAAAAAAAAAAAAAAAGATAATTAAAATGTATAAGATACTATATTAGCATATAAAAAGCATTTGGTGTTAAAATGTTGGTATTATAATTCCTCAGATAAAACTTACTTTGTGATTGTTTTCTGTAACTCAAGATATGATGCTTAGAGCTCCTCCAATCAAGTGTTTCCAAGAAGTAAAAACTTGTAGGACAGAAATTTAGGCTGGATGCATTTATATCATACAGACCTATTCTTCATTTAAGTTCTGATATATTTAACTATGTAGCTCCTGTAACAGTTTAATGGAATCTCACCTCCCTAAAATTCATTATGCATTTTTTTTTGAAATCCAAACTCATTAACACTTGCTTTCACTGTTGTCCAAGGCAGGCACATCTTTAAAAATGGTTTGTTGAACTTAGCTTTCAGCTAAATATATAAAAAAATAAAACAAAACAAGTAGTTAAATAAAATTTAATGGGCCAGAGAGTTTCAGCTTTTATTTCCTTATTGCTCAATACAAAGAAACAATCAATGTCCATGTATTCTGTAATCCACAGAATAAGTCTGGGGCTACAGCTACATTGTCCACAGTTGCAATTTAAATTAGATAAAATTCAGTTCTTCAGTCATGCCAGCCACTTTTCCAATGCTCAAGATGAATAAAATGTCAAACCATAAAGACATTTACATGTCGCTTCAGTCCACTTACTTAGGGTTCACTAGACATCAGAGTATACTAGGAGCTCAGGAGTACAAGACACAAGACACTGTTCCTTCAAAAAGCTCAGAATAGTTAAGATAGTTTAAATCAGCAATGACAACAACCCGAGAAGTACTATGAGCCACGCAGTACAAAATGCTCAGGAGTCAGGAGAAAACTCCTTTTTTAATAGGGGAGTTTGGCTCATAGAACAACAGACCATGGAAGGCATGACCAAAGGGGAGATGACATTTGAATCTGCAGGATTAAAAGCAGCAAGGGTAGCATTCCAGAAAGAACCACTTCACAAAGATACATGACAATGTCTATGATTTGGGTAACTGCAATTCATTCCATGTGACTTCAGGAGAGAGGTCATGTTTGTGCGTGTAATATGTGGAAAATAGTGAAAAATGAAAAAGCTGTTAAATTGAGGTAAGTCTATCCGGGGACCTTATGCATCACATTCACGAGGACAGAATTCATCCTGTAAACCAGGGGTGTCCAATCTTTTGGCTTCCCTGGGCCACACATACAGGATAGCTGATGAGAAAAAAAGAAACAAAAAAACACCACCACCACCAAAAAACAAAACAAAAACACCCCGCAAACAAATCTAACACTTTGAGAAAGTCCTGGGTCCCATGCACCCCGCGGGTTAGACAACTTGCTGTAAACAGTACAAGCCAGTAATGGAGTTTCATCTGTCATTTTCACGTTCTATCTTCCTTTAGGACAATCATTCTAACAAGATGTAAGATGGATCAGAATATAACACTAAAGACAGAGACAGCAATTTGGAAGCTGTCACACAGGCATCTGAGCTCAGTTACTAACTATTGAGAACAGAAATAAAGGGATGCCTCGAAAGGTATTTAGAGGAAGAGAAAGGGAGATGTTGCCTAACCTCAGGTCCAATTCTCTGTAAAGCAGTAGTCAAGATCACCTGGACTGTGAAGAGGGTCAGGGATAGAATCCCAGCTAAGGAAAAAGGATAAAATGAAAATCCAGGTAAACACTTAAAGAACGAGAACTAGGGAGGAATAAAAGCACTGCTGGGTGAGTATTAAGGCCCCAGCTCAAGCCTTAATTTGTGGTGGAACCAATCTGTCTGGTTTCGTGAGTCACCAGGCTACCCAAGATCAAGAGAGGGAGAAAGCTAGTGCTATGTCTGAATACTGGATGAGCAAGTACAACAAATGGAAAATGGGATCAAGTATGAGTGAGAGTTGCTAAGATGCCTGGTACGGATGCAAAGGGGGAGAGAGCCTGGGGGAAGGTGGAGGGAGGGAAGCACTGGTTTCTCAAGCAAAGGCTAAAATTTTTCTATTAAGATTTAATCTGATGCTACACTTTGGGGGTGCAGCAAGGGTCTCAAATGGCATAAAACTTAGGTGATCATGCTTTAATCTACGTCTATCTCTAGAAAAATACTCCAAAAATGATAAGTAGTGATAATCTGCACTCTAGTTGCATAAAATCAGCCCCAGGTGAATGACTAGGCTCTATTTCCCTACCCCACCCTCATTACAATAACCTCGACACCAACTCAAGTCCGTGGGAAGATAACTAATCGGACTCGCCCCTCAAATCTTACACCTGCTCACTCCCCTGCAGGGCAACGCCCAGGTACCAAGTTAGCCCCTTAAGCCTAGGGAAAAGAATCCCGCCCATAATCGAGAAGCGACTCGACATGGAGGCGATGACGAGATCACGCGGGCGGAGAGGAGGGAGGGCTTCTTCCAGGCCCAGGGCGGTCCTTACAAGACGGGAGGCAGCACAGAACTCCCATAAAGGTATTGCGGCACTCCCCTCCCCCTGCCCAGAAGGGTGCGGCCTTTTCTCCGCCTCCTCCACCGCAGCTCCCTCAGGATTGCAGCTCGCGCCGGTTTTTGGAGAACATGCGCCTCCCACCCACAAACCAGCCGGACCGACCCCTGCTCCTCCCCAACCCCCACGAGTGCCTGTAGCATGTCTGGCTTGTCTCGCCCTTCAGGCGGTGGGAACCCGGGGCGGAGCCGCCACCGTCGCAATCCAGAAGTCTCGGCCGGCAGCCCGCCCCCGTTTCCAGCGCGCGCTTCCTGCCACGTTGCGCAGGGGCGCGGGGCCAGACACTGCGGCGCTGGGCCTCGGGGAGGACCGTACCAACGCCCGCCTCCCCGCCACCCCTGCGCCCCGCGCAGTGGTTTCGCTCATGTGAGACTCGAGCCAGTAGCAAAGGCCCGCTCCCACAGCATCGGCAGCCAATCAAGTGTCGAAAGCAAGCAGGCGGCGGGTAAACCGACTCCCCCGAAGGAAGGGGAGGGTGGAAGGACGCCCGCGCCGGAGCCCAATTTCACTGACCCTCCCCTCAAGCCGCGGGAGGCCGGCCGCGCCCGCACACCCAGCATCACCCCACCCCACCTACCTACCCGCCCCACCCAGGGGGCATCGCGAGCGTCACCAGGCGGCTGCGCACTCCCGACTCTGTAACTGACAGGCGCTTTACTCCAACCAGAATACGCCATTTGTGTTTTCACACACGGCGGGAGGAGAAATGGCCAATCAGCGACAAGCGGCAAGCCGGAAGCGCTCCTCCCTCTGCGAGAGCAATGGCTCCGTCCGGTTTCGAGCATTTTCCGCTCCCTTCTCCCTCCCCCTCCGGTTGCCGCAGGGCGGGCCTCCCTCCCGCCTGCATCCAACCACCCCTTTCCCTCCCGAGGTAACAAACATTATGTTCCCGACTTCCCACGGGAAAGGCAACCCCCGCAAGCCACCAGACGGTCACCCCAGCCACCCATCCCCCCCAGTACACCGCACCTCCCCTTCCACCAGAGTTCCGCTCCCCTACCTAGCCGAGGCTCTCTGAGGAGCCGGAGCCCCAGAGCACAGCCTCTTCTCTAGGCGGCCCGGGCGGCTTCCGCTGATTGGCGGCGAGTGGGCCAATGGGTGCGGGGCGGTGGGCGGAGAGGCCAATGGCGCGGCGGGAGGGGGCGTGTCCCGGGTGCCCCTGGCGCCGGCGCTGGGAATCCCCGTGCGGTCAGTGGCGTTTCCGCTCGGGCAGCGGGCTGAGTGAGCTGCCGCCGCCGCCGCCGCTGCCGGGGGAGGGGCGGCCGCCGCCCGCCTGCGCTCAGAGACTCACGCAGCCCCAGTCCCGCCAGTCCGCCAACACTGTAGTGCCGGCCCCCCTCTTTCCCTGGCCCTCCCCCCTCCCCGCCTTTGGCTCGCTCCGCCTTTCTGCCCCCCACCCCCACCTCACGGGTACGGGCCATTCCCGGCCAGGAAACGCCGTGGCGCCGCGTTGGGCCTAACTCGAGTCCTGCCGCCTCCCGGGAGTGCCGTGCGCCGCAGCCCGGGCCCAGGCCCCGGTAGCGCCTGGGACAAGGTAAGGGTCCGACAGAAAAGAGACCGAACCTCACGATCGGGCCCCAGGGGTGGGAAGGGTCACCTCCTCCGTCTCCCCGCGCTCGCTCTCCTTGGGTCGTGGGCCTGGCCCTCCCCAAGCTCTTAGCAGGAGGATGCTGCCCCTTCTCATCCCCCTCGCCGCCTCGCACACACCGTTGCAGCACCCCATTTTCCCAAGGAGAGAGGGCCCGTCTAACCTAGGCGACCCAACTCCCCTTTTCATGTCTTTCCTGGGTCAGGACGCTTCCCCTCCCCCCACGCCTCTTCACCCCCTTTCCTGGGAACTGCCTACTCTACGTTTACCTTTCTCTTGAGGAGAGGCCTCTCGCTGCCCTCCGCTCGAAATACACAGGCATACTTTTTTTCTCTCCCCGATCCCCCACTCCCTACCCCCGTTCTCGCGGCCTTGTGACAGACAACTCTGATCGCTCTGGGGGCCGCGATCTCCCCTCCGTAATCTTCCTGGACGCCTTCCCTCTCGTTTGCTGGCTTCCCACCTCAGATGGCTGCTTCCCAAAGGCATTACCTTCGCCACCCCCACCACACGTTCTCTGGCTCCCCGTGGCGTGTGCCCCAGCGTGTCTGAGATAGCCTCATTGAATGTGTAGGGTTCGAGCCTGGAGTTGAGCCAGATTGTGTCGTTTTACTTGCCTTGGGCGTGGAGAGCGATCTTGTGAGAATATCTTCAAAGGCAGAAAATTTTACCCTTTATGAATTCTCTTTTCCTCTGCTTGTAAGTCGGGAATGTAAAGAGGAGGGTAGGAAAGAGCCCTGGTTCAAGTAGGTAAATCGCGTGAGAGGGAAAGTTTAACTGTTGGGAAAGCCCCTTCTATGCTAATTGATTCTATAGAGCCCTTGCATGTCTCACTTATTGGGCGTCAGTGGTCTTTCTCTCGGATACGGATGCTGCAGCCAGCTCTGCTGGTCTGGTTCAGGGGTGCGTGTATGACCTGCATTTTCTGCTTTCTCATGTTACTTGTGCAATGTATTCACCAGTAACTCATTTCTTTCCCAGACCTCTGGGTTCCACTGGGCTTTGTCTATATTTAAGTTCATTTCTCCAATTTCCTTCGTGCACATAGGTACTGAACGAATCCCCAAGTTCTCTGCTAATTCCCTTCATCACTTGACTAAACAAGTTGTTTTTAGATGACATATTTGTGACCAAGGTCATATTTACATTTCTTTGTTGGGCAGATGTTACATAGCTATACTTGTGATTGGGGAGGATCCAGCTGAGTGGAGTGTGCTGAGCTTTTCAGGAGAGTGTGTACTCCCTATTTGAAATTATTTTTTGGTTGTTAATTTTTTTATTATTGTTTTTAGGTCACAGAAAGTTGTAAGTGGTAATTTTAGATGTGTGGGATCTGAGCTAGGACTAAAGCAGAGAATACTCACATAAGCAGAGGTTTCTGGACTCCATGGAGGACATAGGGCATTTTTTTTTTCTGTTGGATTTCTTCCAGTTTTCTCAGGATCATTAGTTCTCTTCTGTAGCCAAAAATTCTGGCCTGTTATGGGATTAGAGTCTTTAAGGTTTACTCAGACTGTCATTATGTGTAGAAAAATGAATTATGCCCTTTGGTAGGACATGACACAAGGCTCTGTTTCTAGCTGCAAATTTAAATTAGACTGTAGAGTGCTTGGGAAATTGGCTTGCAAAAGACGAAAGCTTAATCTTCACTTCTAAACTGCTGGCTTAATTAAAATGGATATTTAGAATTTGGTAAATGTTGATTTTTCTAATAAAAGGCCTTGGTTTAAAAGGGTGACCTTAGGATTGTTTCTTTCTAAAAGCATAATTCCAGCCCTTCTGGCATGGAGCACTGGTTCAAAAAAAAAAAAAAAGTGTGTGTAAGGAGTGGGGGTGGGGTAAAGAGAAGGTTGTTCCTTTGGGTTGGATCACAGGGGTGAGTATACAAGGCAGCAGCAGCTGCTGGCTCTGGAGCTCTGGTTGCTACGTGAGAAGCTTGAGTAGTGCTGGCTGCTGTCTCCAGGGAAGGACAGCAGTGCAGCGTCCATTAATGCTGCTGGCTGCAGGGAGCAGCACTTAGGCGATGGCTGCTTCAGGACTAAGAAGAAACCTTGCTTTTCTGGGAATTTTCACTGCTGAGCTGGTTTGCTTTTTATTGGTGGGGAGATGGGAATTAGCAATTCATAACCTCCTACCCATTTATGGGTATTGGCATCTGGAAAGTGGATCATAAAGACTTTCTTTTTTTGTTTGATTTGGTTTTTGTTTTTTGGCAGATATTTGTTTTTTATCTAGATATTTGTGCTTGGATAGGACTAAAAGTTCCATTAGAGTTTTAATTTTTGAATCAGTTAAAAAACCCAAGTAATAATTTTAAGGATCTTTCTGATAACCACAATGGGAAGAAAATAACAGGAATTTTTTTCCTGCAACTGACATATCATGTTTTCCTCCATCTCTTTAATCATAGAATCAATTCTTATTATTTTGTTATGTGTCTCCTTTCTATTAAACCGTATTTACCTTATAGATGATTTGCTAAACATTTTGCTAAGCTTGGACTCTTAAACTCTTAAAAAAAGGTGCCATTTTGGAGTGGTTTCTAAATAAATATTCTTAATTTGTGTATTAGTAATAAACTTCTCCGGATTAGATATTTTCTTTGGAGTTTGACTTATAAGATTGATTCATTATATACTTGTTGGATATAGCCTTCTGACATCACAAATATATGTCTTTGGCCGTAATCCATCTGAAATGTAGGACACACCAGAAGAAATATGCAGAAATCGAATAAGTCTAGTTCAGGATACTGAGAAGATGGCCTCTGAGCCCCTTAGGTGATCTCCCCTCCCCCACAACTCTTGAACATTAGGATGATCTCTGATTAAGCAAAACAATCTGAGCGTGGAAAAGCTTGAAGGAGAACCACCACCACCAATTATATGCGATACTGGACATATGCATGTGTGCTGTGTTTCTCCCCCAAGACTAATGTATCCTATACTTTTTTCTCCTCAGAATTTTGATTTGTTCATTTTTGTGTAAATGTACTTAAATCTCATAAACATCTATAATTTGTAGTATGACTCTGGCATTTGTGGCAGAGAACCAAAAAGAATGGAAATGAGTTTTGTCATTCACAAATGTGGCTCACGTTGTTTTCCCAGTAATAAAAGCAGACCAGTGAAACAGAACCTTTAATGGATACTGTTTTAGGAGGTTCCAATTCTTATTACTATCACATAGATAAGATGCAATAGCAGATAAATATTGTTTCATGTATACTGGCTGTTTGACATACTTAGGGTTTAAGATAAAAATGTCTGCAGTTTTTTACTATGTGGCTTAAGTTGCCATATAAAATAATTGCTTTTTCACTCGAATTTCCTGTTGTTTGGAACCTTTTGTGCTCTTGATATAATCATTTTCTAGAGGATCATACAGGGCCTTTTCATAGAAGGATTTACTTAAGTAATACCCTTGAAAACTTTTTTATATCTTTTGATACTGTTTTCTGTCCAGGTACTGACTTTCTGAAATTATTCTGGCTTTTCTGGGGAGAATGACTATTTCATTTTTACCTTTGAATGGGGAAATAATAAAGTGCAAAGTACAAATTTGCAGATCATTACTTTTGCTTTATCCTTTCCATATTGAAATAACTTATGAAAAATTAGGGCGTAGTTAACAGCAGTCAATGACTATTGAATACATTTTATCAGAGGGAAACTGGATCATGAATAAAATAACATTTTAAAAATAATTTTTGGCTGAACTCTGGTGATTCATCAGTTTAATTTGAAGTTAGGTCTAGCAGTGAATTTTATTTATAAAAATTGTATTTCAAGTTTTGAAAACTGGAACTTCTAGATAGTATGTTTTGTTTGAGGCATAAAACTTTGTGCAAAATGTGTAATGTGTATTTGGTAATATAATTGGTAGTCATTTGTAATTAAAAATATTTTTTCAAAGGTACTCTTTAGAAAATAAGTGTAATGTACCTATGATGGGCAGGGATTTGTACCATTCCTTACTGCCAAAAATTCCAAAATATGTGGTAGAGTGATTGATTTCTCTTGTGGTTGGGATTCTGAGAAGTTCATGAAAGATGGAGAGAATACAGTTTCCTTCACTTACCTGTATACATTTTGTTAAGTCTTAGGAAAACTGTTTTATTGTATCTTTAATTATGAAGTGCATAAGATACCCAGTAACTCTGAGGGGAGGTGCTCTTAGAAAGCATTACGTTGGAGAATTCCCTTACCCTAGGACAAAATGCGTTCAGAGTCTTTAACACTTAGTGAAGGGAACTATAGGCTATAATAAACAAACAATGAAGGTAAGCTCAGTCTGCTTTCTATGTACCCTACTGAGCAAGGAATTTGTAATCCCATCATGCTTCGCTCGGTTATTCCATCATATTGATTTTGTTTGCTGAATACCTGAGGGAATAGCTTACTTAATGTAAGGTCACATTAAGTATGTTTGATATGAAGACAGGGAAAGGAATTTTCTGCTTCTTGGAATAATATCTTAGTATTTTTAAAACACTAAGTTTTTATATCAGGCCAGTTTTGCCTGATGCTCATGTCTGTTGCTTTGGTTGGGCTGCTGCTTTCTCTTCTGTGCTCTTCTGGATTCCTTGTGGTATAATGATTCCCAGAGCTTTCATGGCAATTTGAAGTAATAAGAAGCATTGCCTTAGCCATGTTAGTTACGTGTACACTTTTGGCCTATGTTATGAATCACAAAAAGCGGTAGCTATAGGAATGTATGCAGAATAGATTTCTGTCTGGGGAATCAAGTTTTTGATTTGTGCTACCTAATGGAGGGAAAAATGCTGAATTTCTTGCTGCTCTGTTTGAGAAATAGATGAAAGCATGGGAGGAGCCAGAGACCTCTGCAGCAGGATTTGGTCTAAGTAGAAAAGGAAGATTTTTGTTTCAAATTGCCAGCTGCTTATGTCAGACTGACTCCCTTATTATGCCTCCAGTAGGCCTGTC